TTGGATGAATTTGATCCTTCACAATAGACAATAATGCTTTGCAATGAACTCGGTTACATTTGGCAATATCTCTTCAGTAAAATACCCTACTCACCTCATTCAAATCCTTCAGTTCATTCCATTTCCCGAAAAGCAAATCCAATGTTGATTCTGGTTTTATTTTTAGCGTTCTCCATGTCAACCTTTCTTGCTTTTTGTGACAACTAACCTATAGAGTGCTGCAAATATGATAGCATTTTAGCACTTCCGGTTCCCTTGTCCCGTAGTCAATGGTTTTCTTTTAATGGGATTTGGGTTAAATGGCTGAAATAAGGTAGGTGTAAAACACCAGCTCAAAACACTTTCATGTTTTATTCTACAACATAAAAAAAAATACATCAGTATTACCCCACTCGTGATTTTTTTAAAGCTGTTACGTGTCTTGAAAAAGGCGGTTTCTAACAAGTGGCTAATGGGACCACAGAGACTGATGAGGAGATTAAATGTCATCACGCCGAACAGGTAAACTCAGTCTGCGTTGACAGCATCATTATGCTTATAATTGTGCTCTTATAAACTATTGTAATTTGAACGTTCTGGGAAAAAGTCGTTTAGATAAAAACTGAAAGAGTTGTCGGAGGCTAGGGTTGGGTATCGTTTGAATTTGAACGATTCTGATTCCGATTCCGATTCCTTGTTTCGATTCCGGTTCCTAACGATTCTCGATTCCGATTCTTTTAAGAGGCAGGGTCAAAAAAGTTTAGCTAACCTTGCTAACCAACGGCCTTTCTGAAGGAAATACTCCTTCTGTAAAAATACTCCTTTTGTCACAAATTTTGCATTTTGCCGAGATTTCGTTATTTTTAGAAAAGTGAAGCCACACTTTGGATTGCCGACGTAATGTACTCATGTTCGACTCGCGTGGTTATGCCTACACTTCCGGTAGACGCTTCTTCGTTGGTGTTGTTCAGCGGTTTCTTCTTCCGCTCGGCGGACTGTGAATATCGAAACTAGGAATCGAAATTTTAACTTTTGAACGATTCCGGGAAAAACGAAAAGTTAGTCCCGATTCCAATCGATACTCGATTCTCGATACCCAACCCTATCGGAGGCTTAGTGATTGTGACGTTAAAATCGTGGGACCGTGGTGTAGTAGTAAAGCCTACCATTTAACTTTTTACTTCTGGTGACTGCATTTAGTCTTCAAAATTCATAAAAGTTGTGTGCGTCTGTGATGAGATAATCTTGATGGATAAAGCGTAAAAGTATCATTAACTTTTGTTAATCTCAGAGCTTGTTTTTTGCGATACTCCAAAAGTCTACATGGAAAATCCTACTGGATTTTTGTCGAGGGAACCAGTGTGATGCTAACTGCCAGTTGGCCTACACAGTGACATCATACCTGCACCACTCTTTCACTCCCACAACATACACACATCAAAGTAGGCGGAGCAACTTTTCTCCATTTACAGATGTGACGAGACACACGCTTGAGTGACGTATACGTGATTTTATGCAAAAACTATCCCGTCAGGCTTGAAATATAAACGCTTATAATAGGCTTACATAATGAATCACGGTAAAAAAAAACACATTTTGTAGAAGGATTTAATAGGATGCATTGACTACCAAGAGTAATTTTAAAAGACATTTAAAAAAAAATGAAAAACATTTTTTTTTTAATTTAAACTCTATTTAGTTCTTGGAATTTTCTGTTTTTCTCCTAATATATGTTCACTATAATTGTATTCAAACCCACTATAATGGTCACTTTTAACAAACTCTCTAGCATATTTAGCAAACTCTATAAGCAGAAAACCCTCATCTTAAGCACTTTCCAATCATTGTTGTGGCATTATTGCCCTCTGCTGGTGATATTGCGCACTGAACCGACTCATCCCTGCCTCCTGCATTCTCTGCTCATTAGTGGCTTTACATACAATACACAAAAACTCAGCAAACACACACAAACACACACACACACACGCGCACACACACACATAGTCTGACCTCCTTGCTGAAACCACCCACTCTCTGCAACTACTAAAATATTTATGCTGCCCTGATAATATGTGTTCTTTTATCATCATCAAACCCTCATAAACTAATCTCTCTCTCTCTCTCTCTCTCTCTCACACACACACACACACACTGTACAAGGAAAAATCTACTTGTTAATTTTAGTTAATGACAATGAAATCCTACAAAATCCCTAAATTAGCGCATCCAAGAGTGTGTGTGTGTGTGTATGTGTGAAGAATGCTGTGCAAATCATGCTTGTATTCCATCAGTCTAGACTGATTCTGCAGTCCTGGCAATATAGAGGCAGGAGTCTGTCTGCTAACAGAGAAGCTAGTGCTTATTCAGCAGGAAAGCAGTGGTGTAGTGCTCCTCTGAGACCTCTCATTTTCACACACAGACACCAAAGGCCTATACGAGAGCCATAGGTTAAAGTCGTATCACTTTGCATGCCGACGTTTCACAGATGGCATACATGCAAAGGAATGCAAATGTGTTTATCCACACTAGCATACGCTGCTCTGTCTACAGCCTGGCTTCTTTGTGTTTGTTCTCTACATTTGTTTACAGAGGTGTGAATTTATCCAAGTGGTTTTAGCTTAATGAGTGTATAGGTTCACCTAATGATTTTACGACCTTCTGTGTAGTTACAGATATGAATGCTGGTTGAAAAACCAAGCCTAGCTCGATTCCGTTGCTCTTATTTTAGGAAATGCATGTGTATGTGTGTCTCTCTCTGTGTTATGTGAATGTGTTAGTTTGTGTGGTTTAAAGCTGAAATGTATCATTTCAGCACCACTAGCGTTACCAAACGCAAACCATTGTTTTAGTTTCGTTAATATTTTGAAATAGATTTTATTTTTATATATAATTTTAAATTAAAATTTTGTTAAAATTTGATTCATTTTGTTCTTTATTCTTAGCTTTTTATATAACTTTTTTTTAAAATGTGTTTTAGTTTTTAGTTGATAAATTTGTCTACTTCAGCTAGCTGAAATGAAATGTAAAAAAGTATACATTTTTCAAGTAATGAAAATGTTTTTTTTAAATGGTTTTAATTTTAGTTAACAATAATTTTGCAAATATAATTTTATTAGGTTTTAAATTATAAAACTACATATTTATGTATTTTCTGGTTGTATTATATTTTAGTGGAACATGTTCATAGTAATTTTGGAGGAAAAAAAACCCTGTGGTTAATCTGCCGTCTTATAAATTGGTGTGTAAAAAAAGTATTTTCAAATCCATATCCCTGAATAATCTCCCTGTCTTCCATTGGACAATAATCAGCTGGTTGCTCTGTCTATTAAGGAGGTTTAGGAGGAAGTAATTTAAAAGGGATAGTTCACTCAAACATAAAAATGATCATCATCCTTATGTCGCCACGTAAAACCTCTATGACTCTCTGTCTGTCATGGAACATAAAATAATATATTCCGAATATTTTTGTGTGTGTGTCACATAGAGCAGGTAAAACTACACAAGCTCCACTTAAATAATCCACAATTTGTCAGTACCTGTATGTTCCTCTTACGATTATGTATTTTTGCACAGAATAGAAACAGATGAGCGACATGTCAAAAAACTGTGAAAATCCTGTGGCAAGTTACCATGGCAATATTTGGGCCTCTTTTAGCGTGTTGCCAGGTAAATTATTTGGTCCTGTTCTTTTCGTCTCCAGCCCTTTTTTACTTTCCTCTCACAGCACCATGAATATCATCAAAGTCTCTCCCTACTTCCTCCCCCAGTCCAATGTCCCTCTTTCCGTCTCGCTACTTTTGGACCACCTATCCGGTTCTCATTCTTAAAACCCTGCCTTTCTTCATTTATCCAATCACTTTATTTCCCCTTCCTCTGTAGACCTCTGCACCTCCTTGTTCTCTTTCATATAAAAAGTCAAAAACTCCATCTGTCTCTTCCTTCCTTCCCTGCTCTAGACTCTCACTCACCCTTTCCAGAACCCTTACGGACAATATAAAACTGGATGAAGTATAAACCTGAACGCATTTGTGTTCTCTGAAGTCTCTGAGCGTTAATGTGTAACTGTGCGACGCAAACACAGATGTATGAATTTGAACTTGATAAACTAAATGATAAAACCATGATACGAACAGGGATGTTAAAGATGGAAGTTTTTTTTATACACCTGTATGTACTGTTTAACTAATGTAAGCCAGTAATGGGCTCTTTCTCCACCATAAAGGCAAAATTAGATTTAACTAAATCAACTTAGTCTTTCAAAAACAACAACAACAAAATCCTTTAGGATTGCTCCTCAGAAACTTTAAAAACAAATATCAAAATTAAATACAATTCTCAAAAATCATATAACCATTCCACACATTTCCTTCCACGGCAAATTTCAGCAGTAATCCCTTTCTGCCTCTTTGCAAAACCTTCGCTACATTTCAAGGTGGCAAATAAAGTGGTTAAACGTGTTGCTATGGGAACACATTCCCTGGCAACCCTAGGCAGCCCGGCAACGTGCCAAGCGGTTGTTAGGGCAGAGCTGTCAATCACGTCAGGGTTAGTGTGTATGCCAGGCATGTTGGTGGGACTGAGAATACCGAGAGATATACACACACAGCTCTGGTCATCTGCAAAATATTGAAGGTCAGCTGGCATTGTAAGTGCACAATGGAATGCCAATGACATTCAGGAACAATCAGAAATATCCAGAGCAACTTGACGTCAAATGAAGCTGCTTCGCTAAACAATGTAAGAAACGAGCGAGAAGCAAAAAACAAATGTGAGGGGGTTCAAAAAATATTTCTATCATAAAAGTGGACTCATACGGCGGTCTACAAACCATGGCAGAAGTATGAGAGATATGTAGAGGAACATGCAATAGCCATAAAGGAACTCATAATAAACAATTTGGAGCCGCCACACAAAAGGCTGAGAACAGGTTCTAAGAGTTTAAAGTTTCAGTTCAATGGTGGGTTTCAGCTCAATTGTGTGAGCAGTATAAGTATAGATAACAAAGAGGAAAGTGTGGTTACCTGATCTCTGACCAGCTGGTCTGCTTTGAGCTGTATACTGTATGTCGCATGAGGAGTGAACACCTGATGTCACCGAGGAGGACCAGAGCAGATCTCAGGTGATGCCTCCCTGCTTCTGAAAAGAAGCAAAGGTTCAAAAAATATAACAAATACACAAATAAATTGCATTGCACACACACATTAAAGGCATTCATATATTTTTTACACATGGTCTGTCCATCCAAATTCATTTTGGAACCACAGCAAATTTGAATGACTGAATTAATAATTCTTATGCAACAAGATCAGCTTGAAGTTGTTTCTGCTCTTTTGCTTGCATGCAAGTTCTCATTTGTATCCAGACACCCAGGGTTTTCCCCTGACGCATCATCTTACCCAGATAATTGTGACATCATGCCAAGAATGCACATAAGTGTTTAAATATAGACAACCCCCAGCCCCAGATCTCTGGTATGTAATTCATATTTTATGTCTGTTTTGACAGGCTTCTGTGTTCATCTGCATGAAAAAAAATTAACCCCTTCCGCCTGGCAGTAATCTAATCTGCACACAGCATATTAAACAGGTCACATACAGGTCAACGCTCACGACGGAAATAAACTGAAATGAAAGGAGCAGTCAGAAACCAAACTATTATCTTCATTTATGCGGCTATCAGGGAGAGAAAACCAAACAAATTATCTGTTCCAGGCCAATTTCATAGTCTGAAGCAAAACGTATCTAACGGCATTAAATAGAGCAACATAAATTCCCATGAGCTGTTATTCTGTTCCACATACTTTGTGTCCTAGGGTGAGAACAGAACCCACGCTAATCTTATCAGTCCTGACGAGGACTCACAGCGAGTCACAACAATTCTCCGAGGAGAGGAGGAATCATGCTGCAGTTCTGGCTAGAAAGGATTAATTTCAAAGGCTTGTCAGGCCTTAGTTCACTAGAGTCAAGTGTAAATAGGACTTATGTTATGCTTCATAGTCCTTTTACTATCCGTGATTTCCAAAGTGGGCCTTCTTCTACATAACTTTTGTTATGTCTTCTCATAATTTCTGTCATGTCTAGTTCAGTTAATTTGCCCTCATTGTGTCTCCTTATTAGTTAACCATTCACACCTGCTTCTGTTCTCCCCGATTATGGTCTCCCTCATTAGTCCCCTTATAAAGTCTCCCAGTTCTGTTCAGCACCTGGTCGGTGATTGTACATGTTACCCTGTGTGTGTACTCTACATATTCCTGGATTAAATAGCTATTGTTTGGATTATCTTCATTTTTGCGAACTCTATTGAATTGACCACACGCAGTACTGTGACACTATACACATATTTATATGATTATGTTAATAGTTTTGGTGGTATCTTTAGGAATCAGACAGCAGATCACAGTTGCCCTGTCAAAATAAACCAATGCGACAAGATGGTCTGTAATCACTTTGTCTGTCTTTTGATTGGTGGAATACTATTCCGTTTGACCAAAACCGAAATCTACAAAAAAATACAACTAACTTCTAAAACTAGAAATAACATTCATTGATCAATGCTTTACTCATCTGTCACAATAATTCAATGTCTTTAAATTATCTTTATTTGCAGGCTTTTCTCAACAAATACTGATATGCTGTTAAAAACATTAATATTTCAGCATATATAATGTTTATATTCTTATAGCCTATCATTAATTCAATAGAAAGGATGCATTAAATTGATCAGAAGGGACAGCAAATACATTTATAATATTACAACCGATTTATATTTCCAATAATAAATTATTTTCTTTTGAACTTTCAAATCATTAGAAAATCTTGGAAAAAAAAATCTATCAATGCATCCACAAAAATATTAAGCAGATTTTTTCAATATTGATAATGAGAAATGTTTCTTAAGCATCAAATCAGCATATTAGAATGATCAAGAGACACTGAAGACTGGAGTAATAATGCTGAAAATTCAGCTTTGCATCACAGGAATAATTTACATTTTTATTTTTAGAAATTAATTTTTATTAAAATATAATATTTTTTATCCAATTACATTTTAATCAATTAGCATAATTCACTTAAATCCAAGTAAAATAAAGTGCTTTCACTTTCTCTAAAGCCCACTTTTAAGCGACTATTCTTATAATCAAATTTTGCTATTCTTTCCAACTAAGCATTCAACTGAAAATCTGCTGGTAGCTGCTCTTATCACAAGCACAAGCCCCATATACACAAGGGACATCATAGATCCTTTCTTTTTTTTTTCCAAGGCAGAACTGTGCCACGGATACATTCATCTGTGCCTTTTGTTTGTGTGTGTGCCTCCCCATAACTGTGCCGGTACCCCTGCATACAACGGATGTATAGAACCTTTTGTACCTCATTTTTAGAGAGGAAATGTCGCTCCATCTTTCTCCCCTCGGTTGGCCCCTCATGGGTAATGCCTGATTGACCAAAGCACCTCTTAAAGGGGTCAAAGGGCAGACAAAACAGTCTGGTGTCATGGCAACCTGACTCTCGGCAACCAGAATGATAGGGTAGGCAGGGAGGGCTTTGAACAGGCTGTCCGTCAAATTATTCTCAAATCCCTCTGCTGGTTTTCAGATAGGAACACACAGACAAACGGCAAAGTGTGATGATTGACAAGCATTTTTTTTAAAGCATTAAGGATAAAGAGAATGAAGACTCTAAATAAACAAAATAAATGTAGTAAATATAATATTTAAAAATCATACAACCATCTTACATCGAAAGTATCTAAGAAAGTACATTAGTCACAATGCACAGATCAGCTCATTTCATTTTATGTAAAGAAAGTGCAAAATGGTCAAATTTTCTGTATGTTTGATTGGAATACCATTTTTCCAGAATCGAATATTTTGCATGTGGCTCCTTTAACTCACACAGCATCATTCAATTTGTATTTTTTCTCTCACACTCACCACTGCATGATATACAGATTTCCCATTTCCTGAATGTTAATATCTTATGCTTGAATATTGACTTTTATAATCTAATTTATGTTTCTCTGCTGGTGTGCAGCAATATGTAATTTTGTATCACGCTGCCAAATAATGTGACCTCACAACACATGACCAACAGTATGAGAGATGTTGTCAATTAATTCAGGGGAAAAAGCAGGAAAAAAGAAAAACAGGCTAAAGCTGTTGCGGAGTACATTTCCATTGACTAACGCTTACCCTAAACCTATTTATGCATGTCTGGTAAGAAACTGATCCCTCCCTAGATGAATTTGGGCACAGTACCGGGTGAGTTCACAGTTCTTTGTGTTAGTGTAAAAATGGAAGGCAAATGCATTCAGATCAATACTATGCCATGAGAGGGGCCCATGAGTGTGTGAGAGAGGAGGGGGAATTGGTGGAATTGGACAATGGAGCCACTGATTAATCATTCCTGTGCTGTTATTGACTTTCTGTTAAAGGGGTGAGTCACAACCGAATTTGTGTGAATGCATGTGTGTGTGTGTGTGTTTACTTTCCAATACTTTAGGAACAAATTTGTTTGCAGTGTGTGAAATTGGATAAAACCTTTTAGGATGCCCTCAGAAAAATATATGCATAAATAACATATAGTAAATAATATACAGTATACACACACACACACACACACACATCCATCAAAATTGTAGGGTCGGTAAGATTTTGTACAGTAATATTGTGAAATATTATTTCAAATTAAAATAACTTTTCTATTTTTTTAATATGTCATTTATTCCTTTAATATCTTAGCTGAATATGTCTTCAGTGTCACATGATCCTTCAGAAATAATTTTAATATGCTGATTTGCTGCTCAAGACATTTTTTATTATCAATGTTGAAAACAGTTGTGCTGCTTAATATGTTTGAGGACACACTGATAAAAAAAAAAACTTTTTTAGTTAAAATCTTTTTTTTATTTAAAAGTTCAAAAGTATTTATTATTGGAAATATAAATATTTGTAATATCTTTTTGTAATATTATAAATAATGTCTCTATGCTCACTTTTGATCAAATCAATGCATCCTTTCTAAATTAAAGACTTTCAAATGATAGTCTATAAGAATATTAACATTATATATGCTGCCTGAAATATTAATTGTTTTTTAAGCGCATGTCAGTATTTGTTGAGAAAAGCCTGCAAATAAAGATAATTTAAAGACATTAAATTAGTGTAGTTATTTCTGGTTTTGGTAGTTGTATTTTATTGTAGATTTCAGTTTTGGGAAAATTTTAATAATAGAGAAAAAAACAGAATAATATTCAGAATAATATTCGCCTTGGTTTATTTTGACAGTGATCCCTAAAGATTCCACCAAAACTATTAACATAATCATTTAAATACGTGTATAGAAGGACCACTTTAGCAATCATGGATAGTCAAAGGACTATCAAACATTACATTACAAGTTGGTTTGCTGTTGAATAAACATTTATTATTATTACTATTATTTTTTTATAAATTTTAAGAACATTTATGATGCATTATTAATTTAATTTATTTATTAATTTTTTTTTTATTATATATTTCAAAATTCTTTGCTGAAAAATGTGGGATGTGTCGTATTTCCCTGGCTTTGACATCTGACCTTCTGGCTGTGACCTTGAACAATGTCTGAAAGGGCAGACAGAGCACAACTGAGCACAAAAAAAGATATCTATGAAAATGTTCAGGCCCTATCATAACAAATAAATACGCTTGATAAAATTACAAATGATTTACTTCTCCTGGCCAAGGCTGCATCTCAATACTAGTTTGACACTATTGAAAATATGAATCATGATGAAAAAAAAAAAATCATACCTATCTGACTGTTCCCATTTTGTTTAGTCAAACGTGGAATCATCCAAGTTAACATCTGTAAATTATGGAGTGCTGCAAGGGTCTGTTCTAGGCCCTCTGCTATTTTCAATATACTGTACATACTGATACTGCCTCTATAATATTATTATGAAACATGGAATGAGTTTCCAATGTTACGCCGATGATTTAATCTAGTTGTGATGAAATATATAACTATCCAAGTTGAGTGAGAAAATAGTGGATGACCAGTAATTTTCTTCTATTAAATTTGGATAATCATGTTTCAAATGTTACAAAAACAGCCTTCTTCCACCTCAAAAATATTGCTAAGCTAAGGAACATG